TTAAAGAACATATAGAAATTGTTTAATTACAATAAAACAGTCTTGGTAGCTAGTGGTTACAGAATAAGTGGCTCGATTTCAATTACTGTACATTCCCTGTTTAAAAAAAAAAAAAAAAATCAAACCAGTCATTGCAACATATTCCAATCTGTGGTACTTAAAACAATTAGTAGGAATTTGAGCACAAACCTGCATATAAAACAAAAAGGCAGGAATTCAAGTACATCATATTTGTACCAAAAATAACTTAGTTTTATCAGTTTTGTTTATCAAAACAAGCATTTGAAATGTTTTTACATCCAAGTTTCTATGCAAATATTACCGCTGAACCCCTATTCTCATTAGTTCAGGGCAGAAATGAAACTGTTTCTGTCCCCCCCGCATTGATTTGACTCTAAAGTCTATCTTTGTTAATGTCATGCGCTTCAGCTTTGTGACTCTCAGTGTTGGTTGTTGTTACTGTTGCTGCTGATGACCACAGACTTTTCCTCTCTGGGTGCAGCTTGGTAGCTCACACCAGAGTGTAAAGCCTCCTGGTTCTGGCTCTCCTGAGATTGCTCTTCACTTTTACTCTTAAAGCAACTCCAAGGCATACACAGATGGCCTTTGTAAAAGTTCCAGGCCAAAAGGGCAAAAAAAGCAAGCCCCAAAAGAGCACATGCAACCTGCAGTCCTGTAACTGATGCACAATCAGTCTGAGCTTGGGTATCCAGTGTCCTATCACCTGAGTCTGATAGGTCAATTGTGACCAGATGCTCAATTACAGTTATGCTGTGCTTTTTAGCTCTGGAGTGCTCCACAGACAAGCAGCGGTAATGACCGGCATCGCTTAATGAAACATTCTGAATCAGAAGTCCGTCTTGTAGCTGAAGTGCAGCTGAAGGCGTCAGATCAATATTGTTCTTCTGCCACATGATTTTTCCCAAGCTGGAAAGGGGTAGACAGCTGAGCTTCAGGTCCTCACCTTCCCGGACGGACAAATTCAGAGGCTTGATAGGGTCTGAAATTTCAACAGACACCCATAAATCCATTTTCAGTTTGACAACTGCAACAGATCACATGCAGAAACGTGCAAACTCCAGAAGATTCAGTTTCATGAATAAACTCACCAGCATCAGGGCAGAGGGAAGCATCTCCAACTTTCAAACTTTGAATTATTTCACTACAAAAAAAAGAGCAAGTAAATGGAAAATTAGTTTGCATATACAACATCAATATCACTTGGTCCTTGTCTTTAAAGTGGTGCCTACCGGTGTGATTTAGAAATGAAAACGCATTTCCCCAGAGCACTGTTCCAGCCACAGTACGGGTCTCTGGCTAGAACACAGTCCATACAGGATGAGGACCTCTCACAGGTGGCCAGTGGTATCTGGGCTACTCCAGTGTCTGAGCCTGCATAGAGCTGACCATGTACATCTTGGATCTATGACAGAAACACAGAGCACCGATGATGCTGATGTACATTGACACCAAACATATTGAACCTGTTTATTCTTTCTGAGAAGACTCTTTATAAATAACTTAAATATGTGTTTTTTCACATTCTTGATGAATCCCGTCTTGCTGAAGGATAAAAAATAAATAAAAATGTAATGGAATTCCTGAAACAATATCACTACTGAGGCATCAGCTGTGATATAAACTTTTTTAAATGAATGGTTATCTCAAATTACCGTGATATTTGAGAATTTAAGAATCTTGATTGGCTGACGGGGGTGGAAGATTTGTACTTCCTCTATGATGAACATCTCTCCGTCGTAGTTCACAGCTTTCAGCACTGTGCCTTTGTCTTTTGTATAAAAACAAGAAAACATATTTACATGCATAAAGTCCAGTATGCTTACCACTGTTAAGTCATCAAAAACAGCAAAATGGACAATAAACAGGAAGTGACAGAATGATGTACTGATGCAAACCTGTGCCTATAAACATCACGGGGTACTTGTTGCCATCTGCAGCTTTCATTTGGTTTACTATGATTTGTGTGAATGTAGCTCCTCTGCGCACCAATAGAGGTTTATCTCCTATTGGCTGGATAACCTGGTCCATGAGGGGCTTGTCCTTGACAAACTGAAGGGTTCGGTCTGGTAGATCCAAAGTTTTATGTATGCCCGCTTTACGAGCTGCATTATTTATACACTAGCAAAGGATCAACAAAAAGGAAAGAGAGAGCAGGGTGCAAAAAGGAATCAGCTTCCTGCTAGGGTTTTCTTTAAAAAAATAAAATAAAATAAAATAAAATGCACAAGGGAATTTTGGGAAGACTTACAGCTCCAGGCCGAGGGATGGGCACTTCTCCGCTATACATCACCCACTTAACAAAGGAGGTTTCTACGGGGACTGGGGTCTTGTACTTCCCCTCTGCAAACACTCGGCTTATGTCTGACACGCGGTACGCACACACTGCAGACAAGTCTGATGTGTCCCTTAAATAAACACACACACCAAACATGCAGGACATCTTAGCCAACTGGTGTCCTAAAGACATAAAAGAGGAAGTTAGCCTTTTCCTTCTTACACAAACATGTCCAAACTTACAACTGTGCTGTGAAGACGGTGTAAAAAATACAGCTCTTCCAATCCTTCTCGGGGTCACACCAGCGGTATGCGTCCCGGATAATGTACGGCAGCTGGGACTCCAGCACCGGACAGTCTATTCTAGCTTTCAAGAAAGTTGTCCACTTTTTCTGCAAAGTCCTTAGACCGCCAAGATCCCCCTGTGAACACAGAAATTCATAACAGGAGGAAAAATACACATAGCAACGAAACAACGGAAAGGGCTGCAGGAGCACAAATGGAGGAAGTGCCATTTATGTGCCATTGTCATTGGAAGTGCATGCAATGTAAAACCTTTTATCACCTTGCAGACGCGGGCCACGCGGGACACCACCAGTTTGTTGTAGCAGTCACACTCCACAGCGGTCTCACTAAAGAACAGGTAAACTTTGTCGTCATCTCCGCTTTCACTTTCCTTGCTCTCTTGCATCTGAGCCATGGAAACAAAGGTGGGCTCTGGCACAAGAAGAAAAGAAATCTTTAACTTTGACTCAACTAATAGGTTTAAAAAAATTTTTTTTTTTTATATCTTACCATTAAGCCAGGAGCTTTTAAACTCAGTCCGTATGTTACCAGACGAGCGTATTAGGACGGGTTCAGAGCCGAGGAAGTTCATTGACGTGGCTGAGTAAAGATCATCACCTAACGAGACCAGAGAGCAAAAGAAAATCTGTTTGCTCTGCTAATCTTTTCAACAGGTTTCTTAGTGTAGTTGGCAAATTTCTACCTACCTGCCATGATTGAAGCGTATCTCTGGAAAGGATCAAATGGACACTTCCCTTTGCCATCCTCCATCTCCTTCTCAAAAGTCAATGCATCACCTGAAAAGGACTGCACCGGCAAACACCGTTTTATCTTTGGAATTATTCTGCACTTATTGTGAAGCTGATGAAAAGCCACAAAAACCATCTATTCAATCAGTTAGTGAATTTATCTCACCACGTATTTGCACTCGGGATCAAAAGCATTGGTTCCACACACATACATTCTGTCATCTCCCACCTCATGCAGGATCCTGATATAGTTCAAGCACTCCGTCTGTGAAAGGAATTCAAGAACCAGTGACTGCCTCTGCTTAATGTAAATTGACCTTTACAAAACTACAATTAACCAACCTCTGCATTTTTTCCTTTGTTTTTACATTCTGTCTTTTTTGCTGGAGTTGCTTCCCATGCAGCCTAAAAAATAAAAAACACAATTTTGGTCACACTTCAAAAAAATTAATAGAAGTTCTGTTGAATAGGGTAAAGTTTGGGCCTGTCATAATAACTGATTGATGACAAACGTTATGACAAGTCCACAACTCTGACATTGCTTTCATTACTGGTCACACTACTCTGTGTGGTAGGAGAACATGTTTCTCAGGGCTAACAGGTTTTCTGCTGTACAGAACAATACTTCCAACGTTTACATTTTTTTAAAGGAAGCACAGCTGCTGTTAAGATGGTTAAACTGTGAAGATGTGGCTAAAATTGTTGCTGAACAGGAAGTGTTGCGGCTCAAATGAGATGATCTGCTTTAGTATGTCTGCTAGCTTTGTTTACACTGTGTTAAGAATCAACGGTCAAATACGCCATGATACTTGCCATTTTTTGACTGTAGCTGATCATTAATAAGGTGCAATCTGAGGTGAAAACAGGATAAATTCATGTGAAGGAAGAGTAATTTAAGGACAAAGTTTTAAACAGGTTTTTTTCCCATCTTTGAAAAATGTGTCAAAACTCTGGTTATGAGACTTCCTGTTAAGCTGGTGGTATGGTATGGTATGGTATGGTATGGTATGGGAAATGGTCTTATCGGCTATGTTGGGCACTTGCCCTGGATTGGTGAAAGAGATTGCTTTAAAAGGAATAAAGTGGGTGCTGCCTGTTAAAAAAAACAAACAAACAAAAAAAACGGTGTTCTTACTGAAGCACGTTTCTGGGAGATGTTATAGAGGTCAAGTGCGTACACTTTTTCCCTAGCACCAAGCATGAGCACGCCTTTATCTTCTATCAACAGCATGGTGGAGTAGTTATAGACATCATTCTCACTAAAAAAACGAGCATTGTCCCCTAAGGGAAAAAAAAGAGACAGCAGACAAATGATTAACTCGGCAACCACCAGTGATTAAATCCCATTTCCTTTTGAGTCAATCCAAATTATATGAGCTAACACAAGCTGACGCACTGTAAGTCAAGTTGCAAGTTACACAAGACAAAAGAGCAGCGCTTACTGTGATAAGGCACAGATCTGCGGGGGATGCAGTTCAGTGGTAAGTTTTCCTTGGCCATCAAGGCCAGAGGCAGCAGGCAGAAGACAGTGAGGGACAGCAGCAGATTCATGGCTCCTTTTGCTCAAGCTCAGAGGATTTTTGGCTTTATTGTTTCCTCAACAGTCAGTCATAGAGCGGTAAAGGTGGCAGGGTGGCATCTATGACGTGATGTGGTCTGTGGTGTTTGAAGGGTAGCAGCCCCTTTACTGGCCCCGCTCTGCAGGCTGTCCATGGGGAGATGGATGGCACGGACCAAAGACACAAAGGCGATGGGGGCTGAAAAATACAAGGGTGTACAAGATATTAAAAACGGTTCATGAGTAAAGAAGGAAAAGTATAGAACCTTAATGGATGTACAGCACAACACCAGGACAATAGCTGACAGGGGTAAACATTAAAGTGCATCAAAACAAAGTGTAAGAAACTTAGCCAAAAAAAGGGGGGGGGGGCGGGGGGGGGAGAAAGAAAAGAAAAAGTAAAGGAATCGCCAGAAAGGACAGAGTGAGCTAAAGTCAGCACTGCAGTAATTCTGTCAGTGCCATAGTGATGTTAATGCAGGGCCATGAAAAGCATTCAGCAGGGTGCAGGGATGTCAACCTCAGCTCTCCTGCAGCACCAAGCACCGAAACAATGAAAGATTCACACAGAGTGCCAAATTCTGGGCTCGATTAGAGACGAGCTCTTGCACAAAGTTGGCTGCAAGGAAGTTAGATGCAAGAGTGGTTTCACTGCACAGAGCAAGAAACTGAGGTAACCTTTAATTAGGTCGTTGTTACAAAAGGAGCATCTGTTTTCATTACTCTCACAGTAATCAAATTTGAAGTAATGATGTGTGTGTTACCTGATGAGCCACAACATGTCAGAGAATGCACCCCGATAAGATTATTTAGCCTTGAGGGCCAATCCCAGCTTCACTCTACACCCACACGCAGGCGCACACGCACACACTCACAGCACAATGCCTCTCATGTTTACGTTCAACTGAATCTGGACAGTAGAACAAACCCGATAAGTGTGTGAAAATCAATGTAGAAACAAAAATCCATAAAATAAATGAGAATTTAACAGTACGCTACTTAGCTAAACTAGTTATAATAATAGTAATAAAGTACGTTACCCCATGTAGTGAAGCTTTAACGTGAAATTCACCCTGAAGCTGTTAATAAAGTAGCTAAGAGTGGTTAGCTAAGAGTGAGCAAACACTCGAATCACAAGTTAATGTCTTACCTGCGCACGGACACACCCCAAGGTTTCCTCTAAGAAAAAAAAATAGTCCCAGCACCTGTTTACGACATATTTCACCACCGCTTCACGGATAGTTTGATAGTTTAAAAAACAAAAACAAATAAACAAGGCAAAATCAAAAACTCCCACATACCTTTAGCAAACACTCAATAAAAGTGTGAACAACTGAGACTAACGTCTAACGTACCCCAGAGGTGTCAGACGTTGGCCGTAGCCAGCAGCTTCACTGAGATTTATTATCTGCAAGCTTGCGTCTAAAAATCAGCGACCGCACAAAAAATTAAAAAGGAAAGGCAATCAAGCAACGGCTCAGCAGCCCGTCAGCCTCCAGTGAGTGTTTCTAAAGACACAGCGGTGCTTCGTTTCTGTCCACAGCCTCTCTCAGCGGTCATATCCCTCGGTCGGTGAAAGGATCTGAATGGCCGGGGCTCCTACTCCGGACAGCCGCGCAGGGTTTTTTTTTTTTTTTTTTTTTTTTTTTTTAAACTAGTCCCCCACACCCCTTCAGAGTGTGGCGGAAGGCGCTGACCTCCGGTCTGATTAAGTGTTCGTTATAGTACTACTACTGTCGGTAGAAGGCACAGCTGACTCCAGCTGGGCGGATCAGGTAAACCGTAAAAACACCTGGCAGCGTGTCCAAACAGGAGTGATGAAGCAATGCAACATAGCAGGGCGGGGTGTTGTTATCTGCCCTCCACGATGGAAACGATGTATTTACATTAATGCCACCATCATCTCCCTGCATGTGCAATATTCTGGCACTATAATAATCCTGCACATGCACAGAAATATGAAAAGCGCAGAGAACTGATGCATATTTGTTATGATCTTATAGTTACATTTGATTGAGACGCCACAAATCAAGAGAAAGGTTGTAGAGAAAGGGGAGATAGAGGGTTAGCCACTTTGTTATTAAACAAAGAAGCATGTTTGACAAGGTAAATAGATTGATTTTTCTTCTAACTTAGCAAAACCTCAGACTTTAAAAATATTCTCCTTGCTTCCAATTGAAACCAAATGTCTAGCCGTATTTCTGGCAAGACATTTCTAACCGTTTAAATGTGTAGAAACTGTCGATTACATATTAACATTTATTTCTGATAGTTGTCGAGATCGTGGAAGGACTAAAATCGCAATAATCCCCATGTTAATACCTTAACTTTTAACCTAAAAGATTTTTTTTAAAGGAAAAACAGGGCACCAATAGTCTTTCTAATCATCAACTGATAACAGTGGAATTTATCAATACTATCTCGATAACAAGAGGCCTTAACTCACAACGGATCCATGCAAAAACACATTTAATTCTTCAGATATCCAACTACCTTTGATAATAATAAAGTAGACGAGACAATCATGTACCAACATACAAGAAACTGTTCACTGCAAGACATTTAAGAGTCATTTGACACTGATCTGTAAACGTTTTTTACACGTAGAGTTACTTGTCGTTGTTTGAGCACCTTCAGACCTATAATCAGTTAACTGTAGTGCAGCTGGAAAAAAAAAACTATAACAAAAGTTTCAGGTTTACTCTGCAAAGTAAAGGGGTTGACCTATTGAAAGTGATTGTGCTCATTAGGGTTATGGGACAGACGTACCACAAGAGGGCGCCCTCACTTATGACTACACTAGACTGATTTTTTTTTCTTTTTCCCTTTTTCTTACAGAGGAACAGAAATCATCTAGAGTTACATACAGTCTGTGGTTTCCAGGCAGGTCTGGTCAATCATAGCACCATACAATAGCACGTACACAAGAGAAGAGAATAAGGAAACACGCACAACACAGTTAAAGTTGAGCTGTAAATGAGCTACATTGTGTCAACAGCAGTGTTAATGGTTGCTTATCAGTCAGATGTAGGACTCGGAGCAGGCAGGCAGAGAGTGTGCAGCTAAGTTGTATTGTTATTATTCCAGTCATGCTACATGTAGTGATGTGAATGAGGTGACTCAAGGAGCTGAGCATGCCTGGATTTGTCTCATGTCAGAGTTTGTTGCATTGGAGTTGATCATGGCAGTCTACATGTTGTTTTTTAAGTGGTTTCCAGTGTTGTAGCAGCAGTTTAGCACCCAGTATTTTTTCATTTATTTGTTTGTTTTTTTGGCTCAAACAGGAAAACATGAGGCTCAACTGGAGGTCCGATATGTGCCAGTCCTTCTGTGAGTGATTCATAGTTCTTGTGGACTGTATTTTTGCTCGGAGGCAGGTTGTAAACAATATTATGCAACTGGACAACGCGCAAGTGGGTCATCAGCCAACCAGGGCGGGCAGCATTTTGAGAGATTGCATGAAAGTAATCTGTGATAACCAGTCGGTCTTGCTCTTAGGGAGCTAGCCAGAGTCAGTTAACTCATGTCAAATCTAACAACATAAATACTGAAACAAACATACACAGTTTTAAGGTTCCCCAAGAGAAAGTAGTGGTTCTGTAGTCCCTTGTCTTCCACATTGAAGGCACAGGATGAGCACGTAGCTGCAGTGAGAGTAGGTTTGGCACCGAAGATTGTGTATGCTGTGACAGGAAGTCCCTCCCAATCAGTAAAAGTCACTCCTGACTCGCTCGTCTCTTCTCCAGCTTCATTTTCAGCTCCTCATTGAGCGCTGTGGACAACCAGGGATAAACAATTTGGGATTAAAGGACTGCAGATAAACTGCCGCCAATGAAATCAGCACATCTTGTACTCACTCTGTGTGAGAGGTGAAGGGGAGAGGATGAGTCGTCTCATCGGGTTGCTGGGCGAGGCCGGGACTGGTGAGGTCAGAATGCGACGGTCTGGGGCGGGGGACCTGGACAGGGGACTGCTGGAGGACCAACGATCTGCACCAGAATGGGAGCAGTGATCACGATATACTCTCTGCCTCTCATTGCACATGGTTTATATGACCAGCACAAACCTTGTTTTGGAGGAAGGGCAGGGGCCCTAGGCAGGGGGCTTGAGGGGGCAGTGTGGAGGATCCTCTCTCCATTCTCATCATTGGCAGAAACATATGCTGATGACATAAACTTAACAAAATTAGTATTAAGAATTTGTTTAAAAAGGTGGGTGAGAAATGTTTAGTAATGCCTCACTTATATTCTCCTCATAAGGCTCCTCGAGTAGGAAAGGCTGAAGAGTTCCTGCTGTTTTCTCTACTAGTGCATCAATGACCTCATGAAGAGTGGCACAGGGGATCTGCAAGAAGATACCTCTGTGTTATAATAATAATAACAATAAAAACAATAACATTAACTTAAAACACACAGCTACAGTGTGTTTCATAGTTTGGATAAGCTTTACATTAAAAATAAGTATACATAATCTAGCATACAGACAAATAGTCAATCATATGTTATTGACATACTCACCTCCATATACTCATTAGATCTAAACTACGGCTAAAAAAATAATGGGAGAAAGATGAAGGGAAAGATAATCTATAAAAAATTAGTTTTCAGCAGTTGTTAAAAACAAAACACAGATTCACCCGACCTGATAGGCTGAGGGAAGCTGTTCTAAAGTTTGGGCACTCCAACTTCAAAAGCACCTCAATATCACCTCAGGCTTAAAAGTAAAAACGTGGAACAGTTCAAAGAACCTGTTCAGATAAACTGACAGGCTGAGCAGCAAGAATAGAGGTGCCTCATCAGGGCCAGTGACTTTTTAATAGCAATCTTAAAGTTGTAAATTATGAAATGACAGCGACCGATTTTTGCAGCGTTTTTTTAAATGAAAGAATCAAGTCTGGATTCCCTTGGAGGTGTATTTCAAATTTCAGTTGCAGGTCAAAAATAATACCAAGGTTTTTAGAAGATCTGATATTGGTGGAGATGGGGAACAATGTAATTGGCTGGCCTCCCTGGAGAAATTGTCAGGGCTGAACACAAGAGCCTCAGTTTTACCAGTGTTGAGATGGAGAAAATGTAAATGCATGCAAATATTAATGGCAGTGAAGCATTTGCTGAGGTAGGAGAGGGCCCTGAGGTTGTTGGGCCTAACAGAAAAGTATAGCCGTGTATCATCAGCATAGCAAAGTAGCTGTTAAGCAGAAGACCGAGGGGTACTGCATATAAACAAACAAAAACCGGTCCAAAGATTGAGCCTTGGGGACTCCACATACAAGAAGCACAAATGAGGACATATAAGTGTTAATATGAAGTATAGCCCTGATTCTCCTGCTTTCTTCAATCTCTCTACTCAAATTTAGAATTTATGTCTTACAGTTCTATTTTCAAATAATGTTTTTAAGGCCTGTGTGCCAAAATATCCACAAAAATCCTCAAAACCTGAAAACTCAAAAAGCTTTAAAGGATTAATGTGAGGACAGAGCTATATTTGATTTGGACCAGCTGTCAGTACAGAGAAAATAACAGCTCTGAAGAGATCTGAAACATCAAGTTTGTATCTGACATCCTGCATAAAAGCTCTTTATTTAAAAAAAAATTATCCAACATAGAGCATCATGGTTAAGTAGCTGTGATTCACAATAAAAGAGGTGAACTGAGACCCGTGTTTTTAATAATCTCATGCATCAGTCTGATCAGTTGGATTTAAGCGGTTTGATGTTTGCAAAAATAAACAAACAACAACACACATTTCTTCAATAAAAACACAGCCATGATGTAATGTTAAAATTCTGAATCTATAACGGTAAGGTCTATAAGTTTTTGATCAGGCCACAATTTTGTGAATTTTGGCTCTGTGCACCACCAGGATTGATTTGAAATGATGCAAATAAACTCTTTGACTCTTAACTTTGATTCAAGACAAAAATAAATAGCATTGCCCATACAGAAACTACATCATTTTTTTTTATATAAAAACTTAAACATTGTTTTCAGAGGGATTATTTTCAGTGCTTGAATGCAATCCTTTGCATACAAGGATTCTCTGTTGTCTGGAACTCATGGATATCACCAAACAATGTGGTTCCTTCTCTGTGATGCTCTGCCAGGCCCTTATGTGCAGCTGCTTTTGGTTGCTGCTTGTTAGTGGATTTCTGGGTTTTTTTCCCTTGCACAGGTGAAAAGCATGCTCATTTGAACGGAGATCCTGAGACTCACTCAACCACTTTCATTTCACTTCTCTGGCTTATCAAGCTCCTGGGTTACTTTTGCTATAACCTTTTCAAACTGTACCTTTTTTACTCAAAATGTATACATCCATTTCAAAGTTCACCCACTTACTTCTATGAGCAGTCATATCATCAGTAAACACTGGTGGACTTTGTTCCACTGGCAGCCATGCATGCACATGCTATAACGCTAATTCTGGTGTATTTTACAGCCGGTGTGATCTACTTTGGATCGTGTGCTGTTATTTTCCTTCTGCCCACTCTTCCCATTCTTGAGATAAAAGTTCATCTTGGTTTAATTTTAGCAAAGAATCTTATTGCACAATAATATATTGCTTTCTGTTTCCAAGCAAAGTCTAATCTGATCTTATTGTTCTTAAACGTAAACAGTGGTTTTTGTGTCTTGCCGTAAACAGTCTGCACATTCGTGAAGGCGTCTCTTGATTGCAGGCTTTGACAATGATACACTTACAGTGCCTCCTCGAGTGCTCTTAACTGGCTAGATGTTGTGAAGGGGTTTTTAATCAGTTAATTCCACAATCATCCACTTTACTTGTCTGTTAT